AATTCACGGCTAAGCCGTTGACTCCTACCCATAAGGCTCTGTTTGTCTTTGACTTGTTTTCCACAGCTTGTCACACATGGGTGCGCCCTTTTTAGGGGAATCTCTATTTAGGTTGGTTTTTAACGACCCCCGTTTTTTGTGGTCCCCTAAAACGAAGAAAGACTGTCCAACCACATGGCTGCCATGGAGCGCGCGCGCCTGCCCAGGTACCGCCAGGGCCGGGGCCGCTATCTGCCGGACCACTGCGCCGGCTTCAATTTCACCTGTCCTGCTCCAGAGACAAAGCTGGAGGCGGGAGAGATCGACTGAGGGCGATCTAGGGCCCCACAGGATTCAATTCCCCCAGAAGCCCTTCTGGTGGTTCCCTAGAACCCAGAAAGGTCGCCTCAGTCTGACCACTTGCCAAGTCTCTGGTGTGACCCGCGTTTTTCAGGCTGCTCTTTTCTGCCCCGGGATCCGGATCCCCTCCCGGTTGTCCACCACCCGCGCCTCGCGGCCTCGAAGCTCTGAGGCGGAGGACCTCATCACGGTGCTGGCCGAGAGCTCCTTCGGCCTGGCGCTGCAAAGTCTCAGGCTCCTCCATGCCGCTCGGAGTGGGAGGGCTTTCAGGGCGTCTTGTGCAGCTCACCTGACTTCCGAAACGAGCACACAAGAAGGTTTGGTACTGTTTTTGGCCAATCCACTCAGGAAGTGAGTTAATTCGCCTGCAAAAGTCCCCCTGGAGTTCACCCTAGTAACAGAGGTAACACTTTGAGTACTTGACCCGTGTGGAGTTCAAAAGGCCGAAGGTTGGCTTCCTTGTGGGATGGTTTATTTGGTATCGATTGAATATTGAGCCACAGGGTGTGTGGGAACGTCTGCATTCGCTCAAACACTTTGTGGTACTCCTGCATGGGACAAGGAGGTGAGCAACTCAACTCCAAACAAGCGTCTAGGAAAACAAACATTCGACTATAATTTACGCTTTCACCGTGGCACACACACACAATATTTTACGTGATAACGACAAAGCTAGCCCTGACGCACGCAGGAGTTTATTGTGACACCTTCCAAAGCTCACCGCGACACACCCAGGAGTTGATTGTGACAACTTGTAGTCTCTTGGATTCCGCAGTTTTCCCGTAGTTTGCCCGTAGTCTTCCCCGAGTCTTCCCCTAGTCTTCCGTAGTTGTCCTGTTGTTAGACAGACGGCGACGGAGGGAGGCAGAAGAGTGCTTGGGTGGTCTGACAACTGAAGAAGCAACGGGACGGGCGGCCCCCTGATTGGCGTGGCCACCTCGCCCCCCAAATGTGTACGTACCTTAATAGCCGTTCTATTCCACCAAGACTGCTGGGTTAAACCCGTATAATTTTACATTTTGGTCCCCCCCATGAAATATGTACAACATTATACATTCCAGCAGGGGTAAGGTTGCGAAGACATTGAGAGAAAAGTCGGCGACTTTCGCCTTGAGAGTCGGTGCAATAGGTGCAATATTTTGTTTTTTTCGGGTCCTTTCGCGCCCTCTTGCTTGGGCACTGCCCTGTCTGTTTGGCTTTTGGTTGGGGAGGCTGTTCATCGTAAATGTGTCGTTCAGTAATTCTCTCGGACACCTCCTTCATCTAAAGGTCCATCAAATGTGTCATAGTGGCCCTGGATGAATCAATCCCTGGTTGATTACGGGGTTGTCCCTGGGTTTAGTAGGGGAACATGCCTATTAGTAGGACCTTGGTGTTTGCGGGGTCAACCTTAACACAGCAACATCAACCTGCAACACCAATAATTGACTATTGATCATTGGACCATGCTCGCCTGACCATCTTACCGTTTGTCCATGTTCCGTTTTTGAAGGTGCATGGTCACTGTGGCCCACCACATGACACTCACAAAGCACGTGTTTCCCTTTGCAGGTTTGTGTCAAGCCTTGGTAGCTCATTTGTTCGAACTTTGACCTCTAACCTTCTGCAACATGTTTGTTTCTCTTCGCAGGGAGTCAAAGACCGACCCATACACAACTTGACTTTACCTTAGCTTCTTGGCACCCCGAATATTATTCACAGGCCTGGTAAGCAAAACAGGACTCGAGACTTCTCATTTTTGCCACGGGGTACGTGAGCTCAGCCGTAAGGGCCAGGGATTTCGAGATGCGTGAAATCTCTCCCTGCAAGGATTTTCGCCGAGCCCCTTTCCCAAAGCTAGCTCCGCCTTCTAAGCTGGTATAGTAAGTCGCACCCTGTTGATTCATAGGTGTTGCAGCAGTTTCTTTGCTTGTGGAACAACATCTCACACTCTTGCTTGCAGATCCTTGACTAGTTTCTCGGATCTCGATCGGGACAGACACCTGGTAGCAGGTGAGTCAAGATCATTGGTAGCAAACAGTGTTGAGCAGCACCTTTTTATCTTCCACAATACTGACCACCTGAAAACTGTAGCTTCACCAAAGGTTGCTGGGCTGAATAGATGAAAGGCATCTTGTTGCAAGTTCGTTTGGACAGTCACTCACACGACACACCGCTTTTAGCTTCAGCCGTGGTCGGAGTCTTGGCCACTGGACGCTGATGTGGGCAAGACACCCTTGCGGATGGTCGATGGTCCTGAAACGCTGAGGAAACTTAGAGACCGCTTCGAACCCCTAAGGAAACATGACCATGGCCCAAATGAGGAACATTTACCCCACATGTCACAAGCCCTTGCGCACTCCTTTTAAGGACATCCCCGACCCGGTCGACTCTGATGCAAGCCTCCAATTGTGAGGACGTGCTAAAAGGCCGTCACCAACTCTTTCCGCATTTGAGCATCCTTGCCACTAGACATCGGCCCTTTGCTTGGTCACGCTTAGTTTGAGGCTGTGACGCCTTTGGGCAGAAACGGCTGCTGTCATGGGTGTTACACATGATGTGCTGTTGGTAGCTTAGCGTGTTGAACGTGTCCTAGATATTCTCTGCGTGGACTCATATATTTTGTTGCTTTCATATTTGATTTGTCATCACTGCTTGTATGAGGGAAAGGCGTTTAGGTTATCTAAAGCAGAGAGACGGAGTTTCCATCGACTTATGCCTATTAGGCTTCCTTACCAAAAGCTCACTACTTTGAGGTCAAACTACAAAAATGCGTGGTTACATTCTTTCCAAACCTATATAGATCCCACCGGACAGCGGTCTTCAGCATGCTGAATGGGCGTGCGCAGTTTATTTTTCTTTGATAGTTGCACACATTCTGGCCTTCCGAATATATGTGACGGTGGGTCAAAACCAATGGAAACCATTTTGGGGTGGGTGCTCCATCCATTTTAGTCTATTTTAGTGGGGATTGGGATGTTCACTTGGGGGTACGGGGTTTTGACCCATGGCCATATGTGTGCCCACTTGTATGTCTCACTTGTCGCTGGCGGACGAGCTGAAGCGTCCAGCATGAGACAAGCTCGCGCTGTTGATGGAGTCAATCGCCTGTGAGGCATCCCCCATCAATGGGAGGATTTGACCCTGCAGGGACGAGAGGCTTTGCAATCCTGATCGGACTGAAAGAGGGCCGTTGGCGAGGAGCGTCTCCAGACAAGTGGCTTTTGCCAAACCTTTCAAGCGCTGAGCATGGGCAAAGAGAACCCTTTGCAAAGAGAACCCAATACGCTGACTGCAAGTCAAGCACAGATTCATTGGCCCTGAAACATCCCTGTGACGGCAGAACCGTGTTTTCTCTCCAGGCACGAGGCATCACGGCTTTGGCGTGTGCCATACGATCCCTTCAGATGGGTCTGGGTGAAAACTAAGCCATGCCCTCAGGTGAAATCGTGCATGTTTCCATTTACCGAACGGGCAAGCGATTCATGTTGGGGTTTCCGGATGTTTGAAGCCGCATACCCGACATTTTACTCTCAGCCCCCAGCGAATCGAATCCTAGCTTTGACCTATGGGTCCCTTCACCGTTCTCGGCAAGTATTCTTCTTATTTTTTGGTTGTGAAGGTCCCCATTTGTCAGCAGCCCCTGTTTGGTCAACCTTTGATTTCTGGATCCTTTGGGCAACTGAGTAGTGAGTTATGGGTGCGTGGTTGTTGGCGGGTACCTTTTTGTTTGGGGTTTTAACTGGAAACCAAAAGGACAACCGTTTTGCCATGTTTTGCCCTTTCGGTTGGGTCCAAATCCTACAAAAAGACGAGCCACCCGTATGGCGCCTCCAGATTTTCTTGGGATCGCCGAAGCGGGGGGACTCTGACTGAGAACATGGTGGCGCAGCGTTCCCACTACTCCCCCGCTTCACATCGAACCCTCCTTTATGGGAAAGGGTTTTTGTAAATGCAACGGCAACTTTCCACTTTCTCCTCAAGCTTCTTGACCATTTCGCCATTATAGGTTCTTGACCAGCTCTGCTCAAGCCGACATCATTTCTGAAACTTGGTCTCCGTTCGACATCTCAACAGATGCGAGGCGAGTTAATTGAGCATGTTTGACGGCACTTTTCAATCCGCCAGAACTCAAAAGCCCATTCGGTGCCCTTGACGTAGCAACTGGAACACGCCCTTGCAGGATTTCTTCTTGGTCTGTCTCATTCTCGGGGGTGGGGGGGTGGCATGAAGGGCCCCTTCCAAGGGAGACACTGACTTTGAGAACCCATTTGTGGTCTAGGCATGGCCCCAGACCAAACCTCAATACGCGAGCTTTCTGCTTTCATCCCTGGTCTAGGGAACCCTCGGATACATTGCCAGTTGTTTTCAGTGGTAGGGAAACCCCCATTGATCATTTTTAAACCCTCACCTTCGTGGAAGGAGAACCCACCTTTGCGGAAGGAGAACCCATCCTCCAAACCACCAAACCAAGCTACCAAGGGGGAAGCTTCCCTCTTGGTAGCGGAGAACTCACCACCGTTTCACCTCTGAGTGGTTTGATGGCTACCGTGGCTACCTCCACCAAACCAAGCCAGCAACAGGGAAGCTGAGTGGTTTAACAATGGCTTCCCATGGTTTCAACGTGGTGCGACGTGGAAACCATCCGTATGACTCGCCTGTGAGTCACGCCTTGTCTCCAGGCGAGCACGAGCCGCGGCACGGCCCAGTTCTTCGGGGAGAAGGCGATGGTGCGACTTCGCCCGTGTCCCTTTGGGGTCCAACTTGGGGTGGTTTTGGAACCTCCAAAGTGGCAGGTTGAGTGGACATCGCCAGTAAAAAAGGCAAGGGAAGATCCGGTGACCTCTCAAGGGGCAGCAACAAAAACATACCAACACAGGGTCGTAAAGGGATGAAGTGAATCCCGGGTCGATAGAATGGGGGTGTGTTTTGCCCTGTTGGTGGAGATTCAAAAAACAACAACTAAACTTTGGTGTTTCTACAAAATAGGGGAACCCCTTTTGGATGCAAAGGGAACCAGAAACAAACCAACCACCTGAAGGGGTCCTTAATCTTGAGACAGACCCGCTTGGTTGAACATAGATGGACATAATGTTTCATTTACGGGTGAAACCTACCTATTTTCAACCAACAGGATAGCTTGGGGCCAGAGACATACTACCCAGGCTCCATGAATCCCAAGTCACCATCATTTGTTAGAGCAGAGCCGTTTCATGTGAATTGCAAGGAAATACTTCAAGGATCGACGCGGTATGTGCGCTATTTTTCGATATGCAACTGGGCACTAAGATGGGCATGCTTATGTTTGTTGCGTTGAGAGTTTGCGCACCTAGCACAATCCTCAAAGTGCGGGCGACGGAAGATCCTTATGGCCAGTGCCTCTAATTGTTTGCAAGAATGGCTCGCCCAATTTGGATGATGAGCATCCTTAGAACAACAATGTGGTTGTATAAAATTCCACTGTTTTGATGGTGGTTTAAACCCCAGGGTGTAAGTAACCATGTCTAGTGCCAGTGGCACCCGTCAAGGTGAGTAGCTGTTGTAGCTGTTGCTTTCTTGACTTAGCAACATGATCAGAGAACACAGCGTTGTCATTTGGCTTGGATTTTCATTAGTTGGAGCACCCTCAAAATCGTCGGGCATGAATCCCCGAGTAAAACAAATGTTTGTCAAGGGTTCAGACGTGGCGCGTGGCGAAGGGATTGAGAGGGATGCGACCAGGAATTGGACACATTTCCTTTCACTTTGAACTTTTCGCAAGAAGCAAACATTTCAATACTCGGCGCCACGTTTTGCGCTCCGAAGGGAGTTTCTGTTGGGACAGGCGCTGCTCGAGAACGAGAAGCGGGGTGCGACGGTGTTGGCCGCTCTGATCTGATTGGCTGGGCCTAGAGTCGTCGTGTCTTTTGAGGGTACCATGGGTACCCTTTTTTTGGATTCCAAACTGACAGGGGAAAGGTTGGATTAAGGTCCCCCTAGCAATTTTGACACATATCTTGCAATTGGTTTGGCAATGCCAAAGGCCGGAGTCGAACTTGCGTAGGGTTCTTCAGTGTGACAGCCGATTTTGTTCCAGCCAGCTCACCGAAGGGGGGTAAAACGAGCTTCGAGATGAACGATTTGATTTAATTTTCAAGGACCGAAACGCGAAGCAGCGTTTTTTGGGCGGCACTGGGTTCAAGTCAATGCGATGAATGGGTCAAACGGGACTCTCAGGAAACCTCCGGACCAGAAGTTGGCTTCGATGAGTTCAGCGGTGAAGTCATTATTTCGAGAAAAAAATGAAGAAACGCACACATGGGACAAATGCCCATGCGTTAGGCTGGATCCTGGACCTCCTCATGGCAAATCGGTGTTCCTTTTCCCTGCAAATCCATTCCACCAAAAAAGGGGAGGGTACCTCGACCCAAACGGCTCCGGTGACTGGGCTCCAGGTTGCCATGACAGGCGCAGCGCAGGAAGCCATGACTGCGCGCTGGCAACATTGGACCATTAGCGGCGAAACTGCCGGGACAGTTTCCGCTCAGGATTTCCCATAGTTTTCCATCAATGTGGGTGTTTCCGGGTGGTTGGTTTCCTTTAAGTTTCCCTTTAAATCAACCGCACCATTTTGAGACCCCCCCCCAATATAATATTTGATTCCCGCGTTTTCTCCTCCCCCCAAGGCGGGTATGTCTAAAACTTAATTCCCCCCAAGGCGGTAGGTGCCCCTTTTCCGGCCAAGGTCAAGTCGAAGACGGCCAAGTGCCTCGTGTTGGACAGAGAGTCCTTCGACATTCTGCTGGGCCCGCTGAGCGACATTATTAAGGCAAGCGCGAGCGAGAAACTGGCGATCGTCCATCGACATCATGTCCGTTGTTGTTTTTCTTTTTTCCCCCCCGGAGTGCCGTAGTCCAGCACTTACCAAGCACCCACGTCAAACTATCGAGCTGCATACACTGCAGGCTGATTTGTTGGGTTCTGTAGGCGTGCCCTAGATTGATGCCTAGACAGCGCCGCTTGACAGCAGATGATCCTGATGCTTTCTTCTGATTGGTACGTAAAGGTTGGATGGTAGTTGTTGCGGGCATGTTTGGGCATCCTGATTGTCGGCTCTTGGTGGACCTAGGGGCTTGTGACTTTGTGACATCGTATCACCATCTCTGCGCTTATGGTGCCGAGCTTCACCCGGAGATAAAACGAGCTCATCAATGACATATGATCCTTCCTCTGCCAGTCTCTCAATCGATGAGCTAATTATTGTAGCTGATGCAGAATCATTTGCACGCAGCCGGCAAGTGGTTCCTCACGGCTCAACACCCGGTGAACGATTGCTGATACATTGCATGTCAAATTCAATCGTCCAGTTATTTGAGGGCAACGGGCCGCTGTCTTCTGCTAGCATGCTTCTTCGGACAAGTCATTGCGGTGATGGATGCTGGACCTTTAGCCAACCGACATACATATGTCTCATGTGCTGACACGTTTTGTTGTGGCGGCGTGGGTTGCCACAAGAACTCGCGCCTTGGGAGCTTGAGGACTCTCCCGAAGCTTCGACTTGCGCGCAAGCACGGAGGGCATGTTTTTTTTTCAGGACCACCACTTTGAGCAACCGGCAAGGTTTTGCATGGACGTTTCAATATTATTTGTTTTTTGTGGTACCCTTCTGGGTGATTTAAAGGGAAAAGGGAACCCACCGCTTTGGGGGGTTCACTAAAGAATTACAGACCCAGGTAGCTTTTGGAGGGCAAATGCCACGAGAACCGGCGCCAGGGTCAGCGCAACAAGAAGGATATGGTGCCGGGACAAAGCGAGGGCGACATTTGCCGCGGCAAGCGCCCAGTCAGCAGTCAGCAGGTGAGCCACGGGCAATCAACACCGATTCGGGTAGATGAAGGTTAGTAAGGGCAAGTCCCCTTGCCATAATGGGTGCCGCCTTTTGCATTGTGGTGCTGGGCAGCCCTTTTTTTTTAAACAATCGGTCCCCTCCAAGGTTTGGTGGACACTTAGGGTAAGTTTGACTACCACCTTCTTTAAGGTTATTGGTTCTTTAGGGTTGGGGTCTGCACTCCAAGTGTCGATCGCACGAACCCCCAAGTTTTTGATGGCGCAGGGAGACTTGAAGGACGCAACCATTCTGGGTTTGTGTCAAGACATTTTTCCAGAGGAAGCACCGACTTCGATGTCCCCGGCTTCCCTTTCATTTCCCGTTGGGAAGTGTCAGGGTGTTTGAGTGTAAACAATAGCGCCTCCCCCAAAGAAGAGCATTTCCACATTCAAAGCGGCATAGCTTTCACACACGGCAATCCAATTTAGCGACTCAAAGATCACTGCCGCACTGGGCTGCTGATCCAAGATTCAAACATCCTTTGGGCGCACATTTCACTTGATGCCCATTTTGACATATGTGGCCATGAATGTTAGTGGAGAACACCTCTATAAGCCTTAAATGAAGTTGGTGGACATAAACCACCTCATTAATCTGTTTGTACACCAATGCTCGTTAAACAACAGCCCTACCTATGTGTCAGGGATGGCATCTCTTGCGAGCTCAGGATCAAGAGACACGACCTGCAGCGCATCGGACTCTTGGCCACATTGGGGTCGGTGAGGGTCTCAACTCTTGAACATGGTTTTGGGACCTGTTTAAAGGGGATATGTTTTTTTTTTTTTTTTTTTTTTTTTTTTCCGTTTCCCTTTGTGGAACCTCCAAAAGTGGCGATGGTTTTCCTTTTGATGGGGGAATCCACTGACCACTAGGTGGACCCCCAAAATGCGCTTCGGTTTTCCTTTCCCTTTACCACAGAAAAGGGGTGCCAACTCCAAAAGCAAAAGCCCGGCTTTGTGTGACTCCTTGACATTCTCCGGCTCGGTTTTCCTTCTGGTTTCCCACCAAGGAAAACGGGGTTCCCTCAAAAGACCCCTCCCCCAGCCCACCCCTTCAACCCCCCCCCACCCCCCCCTCAACTCCTTCAACCCAAACCTCCCCCCCACCCAACCCTGTGACGAAGGTTGTCGCGCCGAGGCCTCCTGGGCTGCGGCGGCTTCGGCACCGTAGAGCTTTGGGAGCACAAAGGCGGGGCCAGCTGAGCTGAAAGGTTGAGGATGGGTGCTGGGTGCCTTGTTTGTGGCGGGTTGAAAGGGAAACACAAGGCGGAAAGCCGTTTTGCCATGTTGTGGTGCCCTTGAAGAAGACACAGTACGGTGCGGCCGCCGATCCTTTCTTTGTTTGTTTTGTTTTGTGTTTGCAAGCTGATTCGTTTCTTCCTTTTGTTGTGGGTGTGGCGTGTTTGTCCTGCTCGTGGTCTCTTGTACGGCGTGTTGCCCTTTCTTTCCTATATGTACCGACAGTGAGACAGAGCATTCTTTGTTTGCTCACTTTGCCACTGGACGCGGTGTGAATCGGGTTAAGTCAGCCAGTGAAGGGAGGTTCAGCGGATTTGGGCAGGACGGGAGAGGGGGGCATTCCGCCATGAAGGGCAGTTTCGTTGATCTGATGCATACCAATGGATACATGAAGCCGCCACCCTGTCTAATGGCTGCGCCATGTACCCGTGTGTAGGTCCTACTGCAGGGTAAATCAGGTTTTTACCCTTCGTGCAGGTATTCACTTGGTTGCTTCTGTAGTATGCACATGCTGGCGCAGATTGGCTGTTCAATCCTACAAGGATATCTGGGCATTTTGGTGAATCAAGATTACCCCAGTTTGCAGCATGTAGTATCATAGAAGCAATATAGGGACCTGCCTCATGTTGCCAGGGGTGTTTGTTTGCTAGGCAGCGGCGACACCTATGCCCTGAAGGGCCTGAGCAAGGCGGCTTGCGAGTGCGGGTTGGGGCGCGGGATGTCTCCAAGCCACCCCTTTTGAGATGACACCTTGAGACCACCTTTCAGCTGCCCAAATGGTGATGTTTACAAATCAGAACGGGAAGTATGGGGACCCTAGCTTTGGTCAAGTTAGATCCTATGCTAGCTTAGTGCAGTATGTATGAGGCAAGCTCTTTGTGAGGGTACCCTTGCCGGGGTTGGTTTGAAGGGAAGCCATAGAGCAACCGCCGATTTTGGGGGGAAGGACCATGCTGGAGCCACGGGTGCGGTGGCCAGAAAGCGATCAACCTCACGAAGGCTTTTGGTTTGCCTACGAGGGGCCCCGTGAGCCTGTTTCTAGGTGGGTCTTACATCAACTTGGCAAGTTTCCACACAAATTGCCCAGATCTCAACCCGAAAGCAACGGCAAACAGCACTGATTCATGACTCAATCCATATGAAGTCTGCCATTTCACTCAGATGAATGTCTTTATTCCAACATGGACCTTGCCTGCCCCGTGCGACGAGCCGGGCAAGACAGGAGGCCAAGGCTCAAGTATGACAAGGTCAGGCCTGGCAAGGCCGTTACCCAAAGATCTCCCGCAGACTTGCAACATGTTGAGAGAGAGAGAGAGAGAGAGCGAGAGATAGAGAGAGAGGGAGGAAACAAAAAAAGAGAGGGATAGAGAGCGTCAGAAAGAAAGAATGCCAGGGCTACATCATCAAGACCGGCATGCAAGACAGCGTCATGAATGAGAAGAACATCCTCATGATGACTAACTCATCCTTTATCACCAAGCTGTGGGAGCCAGGGCGGGATCGAGAGTCGCGTTCCCGAAGCCTTCCGAGGGCCCACATCCACTCTCAGGTTAATCTGCAGGAGAGTGTTTCATTCTTGCGCGTCACTTCCGCAATGCGTCAGTGCCGGGTTATTCTGGGTTCAACTACATCGGCCAGCATGCAATGCCCGGCATGCGCCAGTTCAAGCCCCTCCGTGCAAGTGTCGACCTCACCGCCCCTCGGGTAAAACAAGCTCATGAAGGCGTTTTGCATGGGGAATGTCGATTGCTGTGTGAGTTCCAATGACTTGCCCGGCAAATCAGCTCACTTGTCGAGGTCATGCGTCCGACATACCGCGACCAACCCGATGGTGCCTTGCCATCCTAAGGCATAAATTCGTTTCCGTACATCTGGGGATCATCTTCGGGTGTCCTTTACCTCAGGTGCCCTTGGCAGCGGCTCCAATGGAGGGCTCTTTGACACTTGTCACTCGCGAGGAACTAGAAGAGCTGCGTTTCCGACGGGACCAGCGTATCACCAGTTTTGAAGGTACCCGGTGTTTGAGAAGGTACCCTTATGTCAGTTTGTTTTACATGGTTCGTTCTTGAGGGTCCCAGTTGCTCAGAAGCCAAAGCAAAGCCATCCATTGGGGGCAACTCGCTGTCAGGAGACCTACAACGGCACCCAGACCTTGTACTTCCTCCTGGAGAGTTGCTTGGGCGGTGAGCTCTATGCCACTTACAACAGGACTGGCTCAAAACGGCCTCCGTTTCTCTGTGGCTCCCAGCCCTCCCTTTAGCTTTTTAGGGCTTTTAGTTGGTTTAGTGAGTTTAGTGTTGGTTTCCATTTAATCCACTCAAAGTCAAGCTTTTAGCAGGGCTTCTGAGGGACAGCCCAGGTTTGCATATTGAGACGCCAAAGTTTGCATGAAAGAAGGGCAACCGCAGACTCGCCGCAATTGCGCCAACAATAAACCAACCTTTTAATCCCGAATGTCACACCTAGAGTCTCCGCTGGCAATGGAACCCGACAGCAACATGGAGCCACTTGAGCATTATGTTTGTTTTTTTAGGGCAAGAAAAGACACCCGTTTGCTTGAATTGGCCCGGGCTTCGGTCGCACACGTCGCGCTTCCTTTTCCAGGAAGGGCTTCCATGGCATTGAGAAGCACGCCAGGCCCGGTCCGCATGAAGGTGGTACCGCGGTTGAACGCATGTGCATAAGTTCCAATACCCAGCCTTCCTCCAATTGGCTTGGATGTTGGATTGTGTGTTTTCCCGAAATTCCTTATTGGTTTTGTCTGGTCAACCCTTGCCATGTCAGAGTTTACCCTTTTCATGCCTGCTTGTTTTGGTGGTTTCATCAACGCCAAAAAAATGGAGAGTGCACTATACCTCCGTTGTTTTCTTTTTCCCAGATAGCCGAAAGCTATAGGGGTTCTAACTTCTAATAAAGAGGGGAAAGTTATTTGCGAGATTGACGGCTGGGTGCTAGGGGCATGCAGATTGGGGTGCTAGTGCAAGTGCTGTTTCGGGGCGCTGGCGAAGGTGCTGTTGGTGACGGTGTGGTTGTGTGTGTGTGTGTGGGCGCTTTGTGGCAAGATTGACGGCTGGATGCTGGGGTGCTGAGGGTGCTGGTGCTGTTTTGGGGCGCTGGTGCCGTTTTGTTGGAGGTGCTGTGACCTGTCTTACGCTATTTGGGGTCTGTGCTGGTGTATTTTTTTTGTCTGCCAGGGTCACTGGGCAACTGGGTCTGAAAGAAGTGAGGCTTGAAAGCCAGACACCGATCCATCCCTCTCTGAGCCTGAGCCTGTGTGCATGTGTTTTTTCGTCGCGGAGTACCCTTTCGCGGGGTTGGTTTAAACGGAAACCCAACAGCCAACCGACATTCATGGAATGTTGACACTTGCCGATGGCACTTGTATGCTGGACTGGGCGCGAGCCGAATTCTTCAGGCCTTTTGTTGGCAATGTTTGAGGGTTTGAGAGGTGTGGAGGTGTTAAGCTTGCTTGCTTGCTTGCTTGCTTGCTTGCTTGCTTGCTTGCTTGCTTGCTTGCTTGGTTGGTTGGTTGGTTGGTTGGTTGGTTGGTTGGTTGGTTGGTTGGTTGGTTGGTTGGTTGGTTGGTTCGAGGACACACACACTAACATGGCCACAGTATTGTTACTTAGCCTAGATGATTTTTATCGGGTTGTGGGGAATCACCAACACAATCTGCATCAATCATTCATGTCAGGCCCTCCCATCCACTAACATGGAACCTGACTGAGAAGTCCTGGACAGTGTCCCTTTGAACCGGAGTGTCTGGTGGCTTCCGTGGCAACCTGGACCGGAGGGCAATCCAATCGTTCTCTGCTTCAGCCAGCGGTCAGATACTACTCCGCCGGGGTGACCTTTGCTTTCGAGCACCTCCATGCTCGGCGTATCATCTACCGGGAGGGGGGGGGGGGGGTTGGGATCGCAGGGTCCTGGTTTTTCCGAGCCCCCGACCTGTGCTTGGTTTGCAACCTAATTGTTCTATAATAAGACCGGTAGGGACAACCTACGCGGCCCCCAAAAAGAAAAGACAAATATGCAAACATGGGGATCGAGCTCACTGATCCGGGTGTAAAACGATTGTGCGCCCCATGATGAGGGGTCCTTACTTGGGATTCCTGATTCAAGGATGGTGGATTATAGTAATACCAGGATGGAGTGAGGCTTTACGATACTTGGTCATTGGTAGCCGGCAAGTGATTGTGTTTATCATTGTTGCACATGTTCTGGTCAGCTTGCTTGCTTCACGTTCTCTGTCTTGGTTTGGTTTGATTCGCGGGACATCATCATTGCCACAGGATATTGAAATTTGAGTGCAGCTCACAGATCAATGTCGCTGCCACCACAAGATGCCCATCGCTTTGATTCAACACGTGGGAACCAGTTTTATCGATATGCCCCCAGGTGCTGTGGGAATTTGATTCCACATCAACATTGCCTGAGTTTAGAAGCCCATCAGCAGGATCCCACTTGCTCGAGTTCGAGTTCGAGTTACCTTGCCTGTAGTTGTAGTTCGACTCGGCAAAATCGGCCCTCTAAAAAGGGATGTGGACAAAAGTTTCAACCTTAATCTTTTCGTAGGGGATCTGAGGACCACCCAGAATTCAGTTTTGAGCTTTCGGGTCCCTAGTTGCAACTGGCCTCCGCCGTTTTATTACTATTATCATTATTAGTATTATTATTACTTCTTCTTTTTTCCGGGACCCTCGTGCGCGTTATGCGATAGGACTTGAAGCCCGAGAATCTGCTCCTCACGGAGACGGGGCACATCAAGCTCACCGACATGGGCCTTGCGAAGCCGCTCGGACGCAGCCCGCTGCACGCTCTGGTTTGGTTTAATCAGGCATCCCGGTTTGGATGGGTGGTTTGGGGATTTGAGCTTCTGGTTCTTGTAGAGGGTATATGGGAGACTCGCCAATCAGAGGGAAACCATTGATATCAAATCAAAGCCAATTGGGGACAAGGAGAATTGTGGCACATCTTGAGGCTTTCGTGATCTGCAGCCGGATCGGCAAAACACCCACACTGTTCAACCAGTGGGCCTTCTTTTGTTTATCCAAGACCACCACTTCGGTGGGCGAGTTGTTGCTGCAAAAGGGAAGAGGGGGTTGATTTGGTCAGTTGTATTTGGCCTGGTTGGCATATCTGAATAACCGAGTCCCCGGCTAACGAATACGGGGCTGCAACCGATTTTGGAAGAACTTCTGAGGCACACCTCCTATTCCATCCACCGGGTTTACCCAATCCGGGGTAAACGTTACCACCTCCCGCGACTGTGAAAAGGGCGCTAGAGTACGTAGCATGTATGAAATGTGCTGTGCATGCGATTGTGCCCACAGGAGACAAAACATTGGGACAAGCTGACAGGGACTGCCCATGCAGTGCCCAATCTCTCGCGCTTTGCGTCTTTGCCACAGCCTGGGCTCAGGTTTGTGATTGGCAAGACCTTCACCAGCTGCGGGCGGGCAACCCAAGATTCGTTTTGCGATCATGAGTAAAGACTTCGGGGCTCCCAGGGCCCAACACAGTTCAGAGGACAGTGCTCCTGTTCGAAGAACGACTCTTCGACAGCTTACGGCCGGTTGCTGCAAAGAAAATGTCAAGACCCATTGCCTAAGCTGAAGGGCGAAGGCTGCTCCTGTCTTAGGGGTGCTTAGCATATGACTGTCTACGTTTGGTTGCCACACAAAGCCCTTGATCTCACGAAAGGAGCATGCGGGCCAGACATTCGGTGTATGTGTGGACTGCCAGTGGATCGATCCGTTGTCCATTTCTCATTCTCAGGGATTCCTGTATTGCTGACTTGTGGCGGTTGTAAGCATCAGATGAAAAACCTTTACTTCTTCAGTAGTCAAGTACTTGCGAAGTTTTGCCCATACCAACTATAAGCCACACCAGAATGGCGAATTTGGCGGATGAATCCTACCTTTTCTGACCAATGAAATTTCTGACCAAGGAAAGGGCCAACAACAGGCCTGTTCAACCCAACTAGCAGAGGGACGGTTCGGGCGTCAGACCCATTTTGGGCAAGTGTGACTGGAACCAAGCTTTCTTTGCAGCAACAAAATAAAACAGGAGCACTCCCAAAAATGAGCATGGATTCTCCGGATCTCAACTCCCTTGGCACTACTGGTGGTTCCTGGCTCCTAGATAGGCCAACATTTCTCCCAAAATTAAATCGCAAGGGGATGGGTGGCTTGCAACACTCGTTGACCGACTGGACATGTGTTTATTCCAGAACACTGGACAAGGGGAGACTCATTTCCGGTGTCGCCATTTATCCATTGGCCCCAACATTTTGGGCGAACAGTGCTCCTTTTTCCCAGACCCCCTATTCAACATCTCGGGGACTGATTCAGTGACCAATGGGCTCGAGACCAATGGGCTCGAGACACCGAGGACCCCGGACTACTTCGCCCCTGAGCTGATTGCTTCCACGGGCCACACCAATGCAGTGGCAGCTCGGACCAGATCGGATCGATATATATGTATATATATATATATATATATGCCAACCCCCCCCCCCCAAAAAAAAAGCCTTTGGGTCTGTGAGACTTGTGACGACAGATGCCATTTGGTCTGTGAGACTTCACGTATATATATATATATATATATATGTGCATGTCTTTTTTTGAGTTAGTACTCTGTCGGGTGTTCTAAAGGGGCATAAAAGGAAAACAACCAATTATCGGGGTCCTATTCTGAGACACCCATGTTGACACTATTTTGAGAGTATTGGTTTTGGGTGGTCTCATGTTTTCTTGGTGGTGAGCTTGCTAGCTGCATCGTGCATGCCTGAGCTTGACTTCGTTTCCATCCAACAAAACACAAATGGTGGTAGAGGGTCGCAGGGAGCATCACAAAGAGATAAGCTTTGATGCTTGACTGTCACTATTGACCCTGAAGATCGTAAATAATTTGTTTCACTTCCTGGAGTCTCCATGACCCTGACAAAATGAGGTCATCCACGGGTCATGACCCCCTTTTCAAAGGTCACGGAGACAGGTTGACATGGCAACACCGACTAAGGATTGGTGGACCCTGGGCGTGCTCATCTTCGAGCTGATGCCACAGCCTGAGCATCCCAAGGGATCAATCCGGACCGGATTTAATGAGCAGAATCTCCATGGGAAATATTGCACAGACTGAGCCTTGCTTGACTTTCTGCCTTTTGGCTCTTTCTTCTCTGTCCCTTTTGCCGGTCTAAAGTCCGGCCTATGGCGAAGGGATGCGGATCTTGGGATGCTTGAGAGTACCTAGTCTCCTAGGCGACTTTGGAAGCATGTCTTTGAAATGGGCGGGTTAAAAGGGAAGATAAAAGGGAAACCACTCATTGTCAGTGTTCCCTTATTTTCCGACAAACCCAAATTCAGTACTTGAACACCCTGTTGTCGAAGGTATGCTAACTCCGGGCTTCTGATGGCCGCGTGAGGTCCATCTAAAATCGTCTAGAGCAGCAGTGCAGATTTCACATGCAGAAGTAATCTTCCCGACCATTCCTGGCAACTCGTGTGTGCTTGTTGGCAATAACGTTGGCTCGAGGCATGACTCCGGCTAGTCTTGTAGATTAGATTTGTTCAGTTGGATCTCTTTGACTGAAGATTGTGAAGACAGATAATACGCTTCTCTCTCTCTCTCTCTCTCTCTCTCTTTCTCAATGCTTCCCAAGCCATCACCAAAAAGCCACAAACCATGGTTGCCAGTCGCCGTAATATCGTCAGGTAACGTGAGCACTAAAGATGCAATTAGTATATTTGCTACTTTGATTTCCTCAACACGGACTCACCTTGCGTTAGCTCCTGAAATGCATCCGTCAGACCCTTCGTTTCGTCTTCTCCGAAATATCTCGCCCGGGCCTCCGTCGAACTTCTTTGGAGGTGCGGGCATCCGCCCTTTGAGAGCGCCTACCCCATGCAGATCTATGCCAAGGTCACCAAGGGTATTGCCAAGGCGGGCGCAGAGCCAGCCACGTGCTCAAAACCGATTCGGGTAATTCGAGGGTAGTAAGGGGCAATCCCAGCCATAAATGGGTGCGGCCGCCTTTTCAATTGTTTACATGATTCTGGGTAGACCATTTTGATTCCAGGTGTTGATCATTACTCAAGTGAGCAGCAGCATAGTTGAGGTGGTTAGTGAGGCCGGAGATTTTCCTTTGCCCAATCCCAGAGAGAAAGCACCTGCTAAGGCATGCAGATGAAGAACAGCCCTGCTCATGGCAATGCTGAATGCGCGTTCTTGAGTGCTCTGACTCTCCTGTTAAAAGCTTTTTTTTGAAAACATGCCCTGCTGATAGTGAATGGTGAAGGATGTGGAGACGATGCTTGGAACCTAAATATGCTTCGTTAGATGTGTGTTCGAGATTGAGTTGCGTGACCTGTTCAGACGGAGGACTTGAGGGACTCATATGTGGCGCAACCCAGTCACCCAAGATATCAAGTTGTACATGTGGTATGACAATCCTATGGTCGCCCCATGTCCACACATTTTTTCTGGTTGTTGCATCCAGCAAGCCGGACGGCGAACGCAGTAGAACGCATGCGGTCTAGCCGCAGTTCCGGAGCAAGACCTGGGTGTGTCTTTTTCAATGGGACCCCCCCCCTCCCCCCTAATTTGGGCTGTTCTAAACTTGGTTTGTGGGGTTGGCCCTTGGTTTCCACTTCGCTAACCTGGTTGAGTTTGTGATTCCCCGGAATTTTCCGGCTCTCCTTGTGAAGGGATTTCTTTTTGTTCCCCGTTGAAACCACTCGAAAACGGGTCCTTGTGGCTCAAAAAGCGACACGCCCACCTCAAGAAAATGGCCCAGGGGCTCCACGGAAAAGCCAGCCCATGTCGCGAGGTTCCCTTCCCGGCCCAGTGCAACGCTGCCTGCAAGAGCCTCATAGAGGCCGGGGGCAACCCAACCCGGGAAACTGGGGAGAGGGGGGAGGGGGGGAATTGGTGGTTTGGCTTGGCTGAACCCCTGGTTCTTGTTGGGTAGATGGGAAGCCCCCGTTTCACCTCCAAACCAGCAGGCTCCAAACCACCAATTGATGTTGACCCCGCATTTGTCAACCCGAGCTGATTTGTAAGGGGGTGGGGGCCCCTGCCAAAAGGGGTTCTGATTCCAACCACTAAATCCAGGCGGACCCCCCCTATTCACAAGCTCGGGCTGATTAATATGGAGTCAACCTTAAATCAACTGCCTGGAGTCTTCATGACGCTTTGAAAAGGGGGTCTTGACCCCCTTTATTGTGGTAGATGACCCCATCTTTCAGGGGGCATGGAGACGGCAGGCGTCGTTTATTTTCGTTTGTCTCCAATCGTGGCACCCACAAAACGGTTGGCTTTCTTTTGGCCTCTCTTGCAGAAAAAAAAAAGAACAAAAAACGCTACCAACCAAGGACGCCCCCGGTTTGGACCCTTGCAACGCTTTTAGTGAGATGAAGCCTTGCTAAACCCAGTCGAGGGCTTAGTATGGGGTGGCACTTTGCTTGTAAAGTGCGGCTGAAGGGCATTGCGACGCGTGTCCAGTGTGTTGGGCTCACTTTGCCGTATGCGCTGCTATGTTGCTGTGGACTTGCTGACCAAAAAGTAGCAGAGTTTACTCTCTTTTTTTTCTTCTCAGACTCCAACCGCTTCGTGCATCCCAACAACATTTACACACGGTACGTACTGGCTTCCTTGACTTCCTGAATGTGGTGCGTCCCATGTGGTTTTGCTTCTGGCACTGCTGGGTGTAGCAACTGCCTGATCTCCTCTTTTCAGCTTTGCCCCAAGGGCATCTTAACGACCAAACAGCAAGGCCAAAACGCTGCTTTCCTTTGGGTTCTTCAGGATTGCTCAGGGTGTAGGGGTCCTTTTGAATCCCTTCGTGTTCCTTAGGGTTCCTAGCAAGCCTCAGGTCTTTGGGTCCCACTAGGTGCCTTGGTTCCGGTAGACTTGTTCCTCAATTAGCCTTAGGATTCCATTCATTTCTCCAAGTTCCATAGCATAGGTGTCCTTTTTGAAACAGACCCATCTATTTGCCAACAGAACACCTCAAATTCCACGGACTGACGCCCAGTGGCTTTTCCAAGGGTTCCCTTTCAAACCCCCAACCCCCGCCCCCCCCCCCACCAACCCCACCAACCCCCCCCCCCCCAGTCAAGCCGAGCCAGGGCCTTCTGCAGCAGGACCCCAGCCAGCGCTTGCCTATGAGGCACCGACCTGGCGGTGCCGCGTGGAGGTCGCTCACTTCCTGAGCACGTTAGGTGATTTCAGTCACCTTTTTGGTGGTCCAAACCATCATTTTGGTAGGAAACCTACTTGTTTGGGCCATCCACTGGGCAAGCTGGGCAAAGAGGTTGCGCCTTCGCGTTGGCCCTTTGTCAAGACCCCGTCTCGAGCCCCCAATCCCAATGGGGGCTGACAACGACGAAGGCTTGATATGGTCCTGTTGTGCCTTTGTGGGATTCCAAGGTTGGAAGCCCTAGCAACCATGGAGGGGGGACAGCTGGGAGTGAGAGCCAGTAAAGTTCCGCCTTTCACCACGTGTCTTACTTGGGAACCTTCCATCCATGCAACACCTTGCGCCGCACACAAGCTCTGCGTTGATTTGCCTTGAACTTCAACTGACCACTTTGTCTTGACCTCCACTGAAAACACCTGGCAAGGAGTTGGAATGATTCATTTGGCTTTCTCAACAGGGGTATTCAGTAGACTGCACGATGTTTCTGAAGACCTACAAGCAACTTACCTATCTTGTCACGGGAGTATTCTGTTGTCACGCAGCTCAGTACAGATGTGCGCAATGTACAACGTTCCCATCTGTATTGGTGATCACGGTGATTGCCCAGAAGGCTGCAGTACAACCCCTCTTCTCCACAGGGAATTTAGTTGAAATCATGTTTTATGGTTGGTTGCTAAAATCCATCTTTTTGCGAACACTAGTGACAAACATTGTGGATATGTCTTTTTTGAGGATTTCTTGTTTCAGGTTAGTTTGAAGGAACCTCGAAAGAATGATACCTTTTTGAGTGGCCCCCTATTTTGAGACACACCCATGTATATGGGCGTGGGTCAAAAATAGGTACCCCAAATGGAACACTGGTAAATGGAAATACATGGAAACAAGGACTAAAAACTGCCGTGCCCTGGTGGTTTAATTTCGACCCTAAACCATATCAGCAAGTACGAACCCAGGATGGTGCCTGTTCGCTTCTCGTAGCTTGCTGCAGAACGTGATCCGTAGTGAGTACTGACCGCATTGTATCCTGATTCTCCTCAAGGCATAGAAGCCATTTGTGCGGGGAGAGAGAGAAACTGAAACACAAATGAAGGAGAGAGAGAGAGAGAGAGAGAGAGAGAGAGAGAGAGAGAGAGAGAGAGAGAGAGAGAGGGAGCCGTGTAACTTGCTGGTTCTCAGCAGGGAATGAGGGAATGACCCCCTATAAACCATCCCCTGTGGTTTCCTGCAAGGGAATCCTTCCGGTTCATTCCCAACACCCGGTTTGTCCTTCCCTACTGGGCACCAGCGAGATAAGGGTTGTATGGCTCCCGGAATTGGGGCCCCGACATAGTGCGACCAAGGGGCCCAAAGGCTCAGGAGTCCTTTTGAGGCTTCAGGGCCCCAAAACATTCATGGACATCCTCACCCTTTGCTAGGCCGGGAGGCATCAAGAACCTCATGAACCACAAATGGCCGGCCAGCCCGGTGACAGGAGTCTTTGCCAAGGTGAATGGTGGCAGGGTCAAACCTTGACCCTTTTTGGTTGAACATCAGACCTATAAATCTTGCGAACCGCACCATGGTTTTGTCCTGAAGATTAACACCTGGCGCGTTTGTTTCGCGTTTCGCGGCCTGAAGCTTGGTCGTTGCGAGGCCGTCTCCGGCCCACCGGGCTCCTCGCAATGTCTGGGTCCCCCCTTTTTGAAGGATTTTGCAGCTCCATGCCCAAGGGTTTCCGATTCAAATTATTGGTGCAGTGTGGGATGTAAATTTGCCCCCCCCCTTAACCCCTTTTGGGAGCAAACCAGTGTCTCATGTTTTTGCGAGCAAAACTGCTGCCGATCTTCAGCGAAGGCTGGGTTAGATCAAGATATATGATGTGGTTCCGGAGTCGGCACGCGGTGTTCAGCTTTCGCGTTCAAGTCTCAGCTTCGTCGGTCAACTTTGCATGCTGGACTTTTGCTTGGTTGCTAGCGCATTCAGTATCGCAAGCTTGGACACCCTGCCAGAAAACAGCCTTCCAGGGTGTAGCGTTCTGGAAGCGCTTCGGAGCCACCGCTGTTTGTCCTTTGGGTCGCCTGCTTGGATTAGTCGCCGAACATGCCCCATGGCTTTTCTGGGATCCACCCTGGCTTTGTGGGGTAATTGTCCCAATTGCAATTGCGAATTGGACCATACCCTCTTGAGAACCATTATGAAAGTGTGGGGTCTTTTTAAGACTTGTTTTGAAGAGTTCCATTTCAGGTAGCCCTTAGTTAGTGGTTTGGATTGGTGGTTTAGGTTTTGGAACCCCTGGTTCTTGTAGTTAATAGGAAACCGACCCTTTTCCCCACCAAACCACCGGGCTCCAAGCCACTCTTTTTGGAGGGAAACTGAATATTGTTCTGCCTATTTTATAGCAAGCTCACCTGGGGTTGCAACGAGCTCACCACGAACAAAAGGTCCTTTATCATCTTGGGGATCCAATTCTTATAATTCAGCTTTTTAATTTATCGTAAAATTTGCAGACTGGAAGGGCAAGAGGTTCATCACCAAGTGGTGGTTTCGAAACCACCCACAAAAAGCGACCAAGCCAAGCCACCAAAGGTTCATCACCGCTGCCCCTCGATTCCAAGGTTCGCCGAGCTGGATTGGGAGGCCATGAGGAGCCTGTCCCTGCCAGTGCCCTACAAACCCGTGGCGCTGCCGGCCAGTTTTTCGAGGGGCCAACGACCTTGGACCCTTTTTGGGTATGTTGTGTGTGTGTGTGTGCGTGTTTTAGGATTTGGAACCCAATAGCTTCGGTTTTTCCCTTTAGGATACCAACTGCACAAAACGAAAAGTCTTCGTGAGATGCGCGTAGTCTCCGGGGACCAGAGTGGCAGAGGGTTTGTGTACGAAAGTGTCTGGGATTGGATGCAAACTTCGAAGAAGAAGGAACTTAGAGCATTGCAAGGGCTCCCGGAGAACCGTGATCATGACGAACAAAAAGGTTTTGACCACGGCTTATCTGACCATGGGTTGTATGGGCAGGGGATCGGGCACCATTGAAAAATCATTGTATTTTTTTGGCTGGGCTCAAGTTGGACCAAAAGCAAATCTGCTGGTGCTACGGATCACTCTTTTAGGGCACACTCTTTTACAAGGCTGGGCTTCTTGATCTGGAACATGTCAAGGGTTTGGCTGGTCAGTTCCCCAGCATCGCAGAGAACCGAACGGCAGGTGAAGAACCGCCGGGATCTGGCGAACTTCAGCGCAAGGAAGGAGGATGCCCCAAGGCAGGGCTGGGGGCCCGATGGAACGGAGACCCTGGTTAAGGAAGTGACGACTGTTCCAGGCTAAAGAGCAAAGTGCTACCTGTTTAGAGAGGACATATTAGCCAGAATCCATCGACAAAAAACATATTCTTGACAAATGTGCGCTTTCAGATTTCCTTTGATTCATGTTTGTTGCGGAGTTCACAGAAGGTGTACGGAGTCACAGACGTAAGCTTGCCGTCCTTTCCGCTCTGGCGGCGCTTCTTTCGATTTGGTCGTGCAGAGGTTGCACCCACGTCATATAAACCGCGATGTTTGTTTGGCAGTTTTCCTTTCAGAGATGGAGCTAGTTCATGATCACGGCCTGGTTCATTTTTCAGCGGTCTACTTCATTGGATGTCCCACTTTCATCGTTTCTGCCTTCCACAAGTGGCTTCAAATGATCATGAGCTTTACGTCCCAAGCCCCATTCTTGGCCGTGGCTTCCGCCCACTTCTCGCCCCCCTGGCGAGCCGGCCAAAGGTTGTGCCTCTTGTCTTTGTTGCATTTTGCTTGGATGTTAGGACTTTAACTTTTAGCCAACTAGTGGGTTTTCAATTTAACCACTAGAAGTTAAACTTTTGGCAGGGGGCAGAAAGAAACCGAGTTGTGACAGGCAGCTGGAGTACATCGACCCTGGCACCGGCTGGGACAAGAATTTCGCGACCTCCAACTGCGCCTTGGCGCTTACTTGCAAGCCACCGAAACGGAGGTGACGTGGGGGGGGCCGTTTTGATCTTGTCTAGGTTTTCCAGTGGTGCGCTTCTCTCCCCTTTTTTGTGGGAGGGTTCCCCTGCTAGAGTAGACTACCGAAAAGAAGTTGGTACCCTTCTTCTAGCCTCTCTACTGGAGGACCTAGTTGCACCCAATGCTTGGCTAAGAAGCTCGGCGGCAGAAGCTCTCGTGGAAAGCGCGCAGGGATTGACTGCCAACCCAGCAGGTTCTTAGGACCGCCCCAACAGGAATATGTAGGGGTTTTATTCTAGACATGAGCTAGGGCCAATACACCCAGTACTTATGGTGAAGTGGATTGATGTTCGTCAGAATCTCAGAAGCAAGTAAAAGGAACAACTCGTACCGTCCCCTTCGCAAGAGGTCCTGCTGATGGCATACGTGTGGCAAGCTGTCCAATATGTTGCAGAACGGTGATGCTTGGGAACTTGCATTTTCAGTGTTTGCCTTTGTTGGCATAGCAACGCGGTTTGATTGTTTCAAACAATGCCAGGAATTAACCCAATGGGTGGCGTTCCATAATCCTTTTGCAGGCCTCCTGCACATCGGTGTCCCTTTGTAATTAGACTAGTATTATTCCACTTGCCACGGCCATCGATTTCTCGAAAAGGGTCACCTATGCTCATGTGCCTGCTGCAATGGTTGCAATGATTCCTGGTGTTTACAGCCCTTTCGCGTTACTGCTGGCCATAAACATGATGCAGATGATTCCTCCCGGGGTTTATAAGCCCTATACAAGCATGCTTTACATACAACTGGTATTGTTTTAGCACGACCCTCATATACTAAACGAATGTTGGATGTATATTATATCAGCGATCACCCACACAGCATAGTTTGTTGCAGCTCTTCTCGATTGGAGGCTTGCATGAAGCTGATTGATTAGGCCCGCGTTGGTTGGCGGAATGCTGATGGCATCGTTACACCCAAGCAGCATAGCTTGTTTGCAGCTCTTCTCGATTGGAGGCTTGCATGAAACTGATTAGGCCTGTGTTGGTTGGCGGAATGCTGGTGGCATTGTTGCACCCATGCATACTTGGCATTTGCTTGATGTACATGTGCTGGCAGTTGAAAATCGAGCAAGTGGCACGTGGCGCATGTTGCACAATGCACGATGCAAGTCATGGATAATTGCTTCACTGCAAACATATGTCATTTGCATGCGCGTCTCACTTACAGCAAGTTGGCTCCGATTACTCTTTTCCCGTGCTGGACGTTCCATCGATTGCCATCTGCGAAACCAAGGCAAAGACCTAGACAAACGGGGTGGTTTATGGTCAGTTTGCTCATAAAGCGTTTAGGTGAATCTGACCAACTTGTGGTAGAGTCTTTCCTTGGCGGTTGCATGTTTTTTTGTTGTTTTTGTCCTTGGTCTTATGTGAATTTGAACGGACTCCTCACGTTCCATTTCTTCGGATCAGCTTTTGGAACCTTTGGGTTGGTCAATATATTCCCTTGGGCTTTCAGTTTTGACCTCATGGGTCCCAGAAAAGTCCTATGAAGCCAAATTTTGGTTGGGTGGTTTCGGACCTTTTGAGCACCCGATTTGTTTGTTTTTGGGTGGCTTCCCGATTTTGGTCGCCGCATGTTCGGACGTTCGATGAAGCATCTGAGGATCGGCCACCTGAAAGGGTTTGGCGAGCGAGAGCCAGGCGCTGCGTCTTTTCTCGGGAGAACTCGGGGTCCTTGTGTCTTTGTGCACTGCATCAGGTAACACTTAAGTGGTGGCTTGGATTGGTGGTCTGGGGATTTGAACACCAGTTCCAAATGGGAGCGGCATCCCCGAATGTCCAAACCACCAATGAGAGGGAAGCTGATTGTAGGGGCTTTCTGCTGTGGCAGTGCCCATCAGCCAGTTGCAGAGGATGGATTGAGTTTCCACTCGGGGATTGGTTGAAAGTCTTAGGGCGGCACATCTTTTTTGGGGGGGAGTCGGTTGGCCCCAAACTGGCCAAGCCCTGGCACACTTAAATTTTGAGCCACGCCCAATTGGCTGTGGGTCCAAACCCTGTACCCCTGGTGAACATCAAAATAGGTGGCAAATGGATGTTCATCCACCCCAAAATGGGATCGCCATAGGGTATGCCCCATGGCCAATTCATGAGGGCTCCCGAGGATTGAAATTTGAGGTCCCTCCAGAAATTTGAGGTTGTGGGGGGCGCGGATGCTCCATGGCTTCACCTTCCTTTTGTGAGGACTATAAGGATGAAGCTGCGGACCCCCACTCCCCATTTGCATGGGGGCATGGGATGTTTGAGCAGTTCTGGGAATGTGAAGAATTCACGCAGATTGGATGAAGCATGCGAATTCAGTTTTCAGTAGGATTTCAGTGTTGGAAGAGTCATAGCACTGCAGAATTGGCGATGTCTATGTAAAGTTGCGGTTGTAGCACAATGTGGCAGATGGTTTTTTGATGCCTCCCAATGTGCTGTCATGATCACGACTTCTGCATAACATTGATGCGGAAGTGAGGGTTCCTTGCCTTACAGCACGCAGCTCGTTCAAGTTTGTTGCCGCTCCTTTCAGCAAGTAGAGAAAGGCACCGGCGAAGCATGCAACACATCTCCACATCGCAGCAAGCAACCGAGAACCAATCTTCAAGTTCTTGCGCAAGTTGAAGGACACCATCACACCCGGTCCTGTCAAATCGGATTTCTGTGTCTTTCTTGAAGGAACACCAAAAAGGGAAGCTGCCCATTCTGGGGTCCGGTCCCATGTGACATACGCATTCTCTCAGCCCCAGGCTCATGGGCCTCAGTAAGTCGATGCCGAGGCCAATGGTTGGCCGGCGGTCTCACCCGTCACAGTCTCACCCTACGCGTGTTGGCGGTACCCTTCAGAAGGGGTCAGATGCAGAGCTAAGAGCAGAGGCAGCAAACGCGTTTCGCCCAGTAAGTGTGAGTTTGTCAGTGTGACATCATGGGAGCCCCGATTGAACCAAGATACAGTATGACATCATGGGAGCCCCGATTGAACCAAGATACAGTAAATATGGGTTTATTGAAAGACCGCTATGTCATGTGAATGGTTCAGACTTTTTCGGACCACTACGCAACCTTTGCAAGCTTGTGCCAGGATTTCACGGGAGGTTTCGATGAGCGTGCCTTCCCCAAATCCTAAAAAATGAAGCGGTTGATCCAGAGACACCTCAGGAGCCGTTTCTCTATGGCAGTCAGGTGAAGCCACTCAAGCTTTCCCCTAGCTTCGGGTTGCGTATTCCATGCCTATCTTATCAACTGGGGATAAAGCTAATGATTGGCCAACGTATTCGTTCCTTTCAAGTATTGAGCATACATCAGACTGCTTGCAATCGCGCCAGTCACGCAAGCCTTGTGATAACGACAGATTGACTGCCTGGCAAACATAGCTGATCAGCAAAGGTCGGGAGAAGTTGTGCCAAGGCGGCAGTCCAGGCGTTGCATTGTCGCAACTCGCACCATCACCATTGCTGCAGATCCAGCTGCATGTCGGCGAATGAGCGAGACCTCGACGGGTCAACAAGAAGTCTGATGGCATTTGGTTGGAGGCTTCCACGCAAAGCTTCATTTGCCTCCAGGTTCAGGTATACCGTGCCTGGTGACCGAATATGCTTCGACAAGTTGGCAAAATTGATCTCTCTCAACCCTTCGAAGTAGGTACTACAGAGCCGATGCGCATGTCGACACTGCTTATTATTTGGGGATGACATAACATGATTGTCCCAGGGTGTTTTCAGGAGGCATTCCAAACCTGTCTCCAACAAGCAGCAGCATTGGGCCATTTTGGTCTACTTCGGCTGGGTTAGTTCCGCTCTACCAACATGCCTACGTGGTGGTGGAGGAGCTCAGCGATGAATGTTTATCAGGGATTCTGCAGATTCGGATTGGCGAGTTATAGCAAGGCCAGAAAGTTCCGGCGACAGATGTGTTCTTTGCAGCCAATGACTTAAAGCCGAGTTGATTGCGAGGACCCTCAAACATGTCTTGTGTTGTGTGGTATCTTGAACTGGTGTCCTGTCAATTTGGTTGAACATAAGTTATGATGGTTTCACTTTGGTCCCAATGATTCACTAGTGCAATGTAGTTTTTCACGCGGCTAGGAGCCTCTACTGCGGTACAAACCTATTGGTGGGGTCATAGCCGGCATAGCGCTGGATCTGAGCTGGGGCCCCACTTTTGCCGGACGGCGGCCGAGGCAAGCCCTTTTAGGTGAGCCGAAGCTTCGCTGTTTGGCCGGCAGGTGGTCGTGGAAGGTGCCTGTGAAAGAAGGAGGCAAAATCCGAATGCCCAAAGCGAATGAACCTTTCACCTGTTGGTTTCCCCTTTTTGGTCCATT